TTCACACTTGATTTGTAAAAATTTTATATATATATATATATATATATTTAAAATGTGCCATTTTATTGCTAAGTGAAGTATGTCCTGTTTTCTGCTATAATTCTTTCTCGGTCAGATTGCAATGTCAGCAGTTACTGCCACACTCCTGTCAGCTTAAACACAAATGTTACCGCTTATCTTTTCTTAAAAAAAAAAAAAAAAAACAAAGTGTAGGTATTTTGAAGTACTGGGCTTATATTTCATTGGAATACATGTGTACAGCAATAAGCAGGTTTTCAAATCCAGTACTTAGTTTGTGTACAAATGTAATTATGTTCATTGTGTATATATTATACAATGAGCACATGTAATGTATTAAAGGCTACTTACTATTGTTTAAATGCAAATGTTCATATCTCATTTCTTTTTTATCATGTTAAATAAATGTTGATGTTCTTAAATCAGTTGTGTTAGAATTTTTGTTCTTTCCATCCAAAATTGAAAGTCTTAAGACTCAAGAGAGTTCTAGAAGAAAAGGTACTCTGTTAATCTGATAATCCTAGACAACATCCTAAAAGACCCTTGTCGATCCAGCCCTCCCATGTCAAAGTTGAGGACCTTGAGGCTCAAAGAGATCAATTGACTTGGCCACAATTTAATGACAGAATTTTGACCAGACTATAGTTTTTTCTGACTTTTCCTCTAAGTACATTACATTAGCTCATTACCACTAGAGGAGTTTAGTTTTGTGAAGTCTTTCATTATGTTTCTATTTGCTTCCATGTTTCAGAAAGTAAAAGTAAGACTACTTTAAGCATCAATTGTCGTGCTCTGCTTAGGGATTGGACTTTGAGAGAGGTGTGTAAGGCAGCTATTTGTCTGACATGGGTAGCTAGAAACCGTTTCATCAAAAGTAGGACCCTCAGAGATCATTTTCTCTCACAATATATTCTTTGCAGATGTTCACGCTCTTCAGAATCAATTACATTTTCTTCCCTCTGTAACCTTTTGTTCATGCTATATATTGTTCCCAGAGTACACGGAAATTTGATGCTTTTGGATTCCTGCATAAAATGGCTGAAACTAAATTGGCATTAGTCAGTCTTTTTTTCCTCCCCATCCTATGTTAAAGAGGATTTAGATTTAATTCAAAATGCAAATGTATAAAAATTCTTCTCCAAACACAATGAAATGAAAAGAGATACAATGTATATTGGGAGATGAAAGAAAACAGAAGTGAAAATGGACCCCTCTCTGTGTCCGTGTACATAATGTGTAATATGTTTACACATACTACCTTTCTCTAAAGATGTCACACAAAAGTCTTCTCAAAAGAAATAGTCACCAAATTATTATTTCCCTTTAGTCATGATACAATGATTGTTTCAGATCTTTTGTCATTGTGTTGGGGAACAATTGCTTTTGTTTGGGTTTTTTTTTCTTTTTTATCTTTTGAGATGGAGTCTTGCTCTGTCGCGCAGGCTGGAGTGTAGTAGCCTGTGATCTCGTCTCGCTGCTGCAGCCTCCGCCTCCTGGGTTCAAGCAATTCTCTTGCTTCAGCCTCGCGAGTAGCTGGGATTACAGGCTCATTTTGCGGGTTTTTGGGGGGATTTTTTGAGACGGAGTCTTGCTCTGTCACCAGACTGGAGTGCAGTGGCCTGATCTCACCTCACTGCAACCGCCTCCTAGGTTCAAGGGATTCTCCTGCCTCAGCCTCCCAAGTAGCTGGGACTACAGGCACACAGCACCACGCCCAACTGATTTTTGTATGTTTTTGTTTCGTTTTGTTTTTTTGAGGCGGAATCTTGCTCTGTCACCCAGGCTGGAGTGCAGTGGCACAATGTCCACTCACTGCAAGCTCCACCTCCCGGGTTCACGCCATTCTCCTGCCTCAGCCTCCTGAGTAGCTTGGACTACAGGCGCCCGCCACCACACTGGGCTAATTTTTTGTATCCTTTAGTAGAAACGGGGTTTCACCATGTTAGCCAGGATGGTCTCGATCTCCTGACCTTGTGATCCGCCTGCCTT